TAATCCTGCTCTGTTTGTTGGTGCATGTAGACATGCGCATCATGCACCTGCCTCATGTGTTTTTTGTTGCTACTTTTGTGTTTATTGATTGTAGTGATTAGTGAGTCAATTTTTGGATTAATTGGGCTATCCGGATCAGTGCACCAATTTTCCTTTTATATTTTTTTGTACACATTTGGGGCATCAGTTTGTTATTTTGTAATCAGAGTCCTGCCCTTGTGGTAATTACCTCCTCATTTCCATAAGCATGTTGTGTTTTTACAGAACTTTGCATAATAACTTAGTATGACCAAGTATTTTTTGGTTCTATATCTTATAAAGAGTTTGAGACATTAGATTTGAACAAGGTGATCTAGCCAGAAAACTTAAATGGAAAAAGTAGTTATTTAGATAAAGTCATGAAACAACTATTTGAAGTTCAGTTTCTTCATGTTTTTGCCCTTAGATGAGTCTAATTAAACCATATAGCTTTTTTATTACACGTTGTTTTGCATACTAAAGAATCTCTTTTTTTTGGTCTGAACATACTAAAGAATCTTTGTTTCAATGAGATGCACTTCTCTACAGTTAAGGGAAATCCTAAAATCCTTGTTCTTCCCTTATTAACTTCTAGGGAACTATCTGCTAGTTACTGAAAACATTGTTGCTAAGTATCATTGCTACAGCTTTGCAGGTACTTTTAGTGAGAAAGTATCGAGAACTGTGAGACAATTCTCTCCACATTTGGCTGCAAAGATGAGACCTCCTCTTACGTAAGCTTGGTTGTTTATCACTTGACCTGCTATGCACCCAATACAGTTGCTTCAATGATTATTTAATTATTTCCAGGCCTGTAATTCGTGGACGTCCATCAGCTAAAAGAGCAATATTCATATGCGGCCGGCCTCGCTGGGTGTTTGTCTTTATATTCTCTTCTGGTATGTAAATCTTGAAAGCAATGTCTTCTTTCCTATATATGTTTTGGAGTAGTCCAAGCAAGCTAGTCTGTGAATTGAATATTTGTTTCATTGTTTATTCCTTTCAAAAATAATTATTCCACTGTTTACTAACCATCTATTTCCTATTTATAGTGAGTTTCTTTCTATGGTTTGTTTCCTGTGGTCTCTTAACTGTACTGTGGGCACTTGCCTTCGGAATGCTTGGTACGTTGCTTTCTAAAAATTTGTGTTCATTTGCCTGACATGCTGTATGCTTTCTAATTGGTTTTCTTTCTCTGTCCTTCCTCTCTCTCAGCCACTCTGTTGCATGCAAGCTTCAGAACACCTAATTTGAAAGCACGCCTGAACACTTTCCGTGAGGAATTTCGTGCAGTGTGGCGCAACTATAGTGAGCTGTAGCTTACCTGTAGCTCCTAAGATGTGAGTGAATCCTGCTTTGATTCTACTTTTTGACTATGTTTTGTGCGAGTTTATTTATTGTTCTGTACTCGCCATTAATGATGTACTTTTCTAGTTTGCAGCTACTGATGTAATAACTGAATTGTTTTTATTTTTTGGAGTAGTTAGTACTAATGAACTAACACAGTTTTGTTTATCCTGTTTCTTCAACAGGCTTTGTTTTTCTATTTAGGCATTGTGCTGTTGATTGGGAATCTCATACAAGTTGTGGTTCTGAACTTGAGCTTGGTTGTGGCTGCTTTAAAATAATATTGGCTGGAATGAAACTCTCGGGACTCGGGTAAAAGCTGCCCACCTTTGCAAATCAACAGCAGGATGTAAATCGTGATGAACATTGTTTATGTAAAGGAAATTGCTTCTTTTTGCTATCCGTATTTGTAAGAAACACTGGAGGAACTTATTATGTGCAGTAGCGTCTAACATTCTTAGAATATATGGGCATGTGTTTATCATGCCCCCTCTGCTCGTCGTCAACTCTAAGTTGCCTTTTAATAGAAGGTAGTGATTTAGTTGCATGAGTTATATTATCTTAAGTTATGCCTGTGAATTATGCCTGCGGATGATATTGTATTGTGTATGGGTTTTATTCGGGTCAAGGTACACGGTTTTTCTGGGTGGTTTGAGTATTTTTGGAGCAAGTGTCCTTGGCTTTGGTCCTAGGTTTCCTTTGCTTGCAGGAAACGCTATAATTCTCTTTGCGCCCTTCATCGAACAAACAATATTTCTTTTTGGGGTGGCAAACTCAGTAATCATCTTCTCTTGAAAAACCATCTTCTGTGTAACCCGATTTTTCAAAATATGATGGACACGCCAATTGAAGTGCCTTCTCTCCCCACGCCTTTTAAATTGACTTTCATTTCTGTTAATTATTCCTATGGGAGTGGCACGGCAGCAAACCTAGGTTAGTACCATGTTTTGGTTTTTAAGACATTGGATCCATTCTGGTCGGTTGTGTTGCAATATTAATTTAACGGATTTCGTGAAGCAACTTTCTTTCCATATTCGAAATGATCTGCAACTCTAAATGATAAACGAAGCGCTAGCCTATTGAGTGGTCGAGTGGATTTGCTATTACTTATTAGCAAATGAATTGGTTTGTTAATCTCACACGCCTACTTTATTTATACAAACAATGGGTATATTCAAAGTGCCGCCCAAGCCAACCGTTTGTCCTGAGAAAAAAAAAAAGAAAAAAAAAAGAAGAAGCCCCTGGGTAAGCAATCTCTTGTGCTAAGTTTGCTCTTGGAATTTTGGAAAGAAGAAAAGGCAAAGAAAAGGCTACTTTTACAGATGCATCCTCAAGAACAAAAGCAGAAAGCATAAAAAGAAAAGAAGCAAATTAAAGGTTTATCATTTAGATTTCCTATGAATTTTGCAACTAAAAAAAACCCATAGAAAATACATAAAATAAAAGATTTATATATATATATATATGTGTGTGTGTGTGTGTGTGGCTTAAAATATGAGACGAGAGAGTTGGGTTGTGCTGTAAGTCTAAAATCCACAGACTGGGCCACGTTATTTTGGCCTTTATGAAGCTGAGCCTCAGCTAGCCCACGTGCGCCACTAGTACAATTACAATTTCCTCCATATTTTCATTCTCTCCTCCTCCATGCCTTGCAATTGCCAGCTACTGATAGATAGATACTTTGATACCATTATTCTCTTTTTCCCTCCAATAAAGAGGTCAAGAAAGATACCTCAACGGTTAGCGCAGACCAGCATGCATAATATTAAATTTATTTGAGGAATCCGTTGTATATTATACGACCAGGAGAAGTTGAAAGCAATTTAAGCAGAGAAGGAGGATGGAGCATTATCTGAACTGGGCAGAAGCTTTAGCCTCAGCCTCGGGCTTCATGCTGCTGTTGGGTCTCGTCTGTTGCTGCCTCAGTTCCAACCCCCGCCAACGTGGAAGCGGCGGAAACGGCAGCTGCAGCTGCGATGCTGGTTATGCCGGTTGCTGATCTTACATACTCAGCTCATAATTCTCCTTCTGTTTTTTTGTCTTTCTGCATGGTTCACTATACTCTTGTAATTAGTTAATTGATTAATTGAAACCGTATTTATTTCTCTTCAGCTATAGTTCTTCTTCCCATGATTTTTTTTTTTTGTCGATTTGCTTGTTTTTGTTGGCCTTTTCTTTTCCTTCTCTTGTTGGGCCTTGTCATCATTCTGAGAGAGCACATGATCATACGATTGCCACACACTCCCTCCTCAATTATTAACAACACAAATAGGCACGCTGTCAATCAATATGGTCACAAGGATTGGGATTATTCCAATTTAAAAATTGAGCACTAAAACTAATTTATTTAATTGGATACTTATCTCACTTATTAAAGAAAATATTCTAAAGTTGAAATTCTCGAATTCATAACTCAAAAGTCCAAACCAAACCACCAAATGTGCCTAGAGGGTTTTCACGTGACATCTAATGTAAGAATTGTGCAGCTCAAATCATCATGTTATGTAATTCTCTCTAATAAAAGTGAAATTCACTTATGTGCAACTGATTCAAAATATGATTATTTGAGATTCACTAATCTATAATTGTACCAAGGTCGAAGTGTGTCAATACTCGCATTAAGTTTAAATCCTGCAACTTGATATAAAATGAACAAGGATAATTATCCACGGGGTCATAAAACGTGCGGCATGAAAACCAATATTAATATTCACTAACCATGCATGCGTGCAGACTTATAAAGACATAATTAATATGGCCACACGTACGGCCACAATCAGAGTTGGAAAGCAAATATTTAAGCGGAGGAGGAGGACAAATCATAACACAAGTGGTAGGGCATCGTAGTGGATCGGAACAGGAAGGAGGAGGACAAATCAACACAAGTGGTAGGGCACAGTAGTCGATCGGAAATCAGAAGAATCAAGAATGTCGGACATCTGGTTGCAATTAGTCATATCCGGGGCCGGGGTCTTGGTGCTCGTGGCCCTAATTATATATGTGTTTGCCAAGATGTTTGAGAATTGTTATCAATGAGGGGCTTTATACTCTTGTAATAAATTTATTATTTTTTTTAAATAAAAAATAAATTGATTCATTGACACTACTGCGTATTTATATATATCCTCAGCTACGTAAAATAAGTAAATAAAATGTTACTTCCTTGGCTATACATATATACAGATTTGCTGCTTATCTATTTTGACCATGAATTGAAATACGTAGCAGTCAAAGACTCCCAAGTATGAATAAAAGTTACGATATTACTTGCTAACGGAGTCTAGCACAATGAAAAAGGGTCTTAATTTGCAAATTAGCGGTCTCAAGTTTGAAACACAATGATAGTCTGTGTGAAAATCTCATCCCCTTGTAGTTTATTATAGTCTCATGCTTTGCGCAACCGTGTTTGCCTCAACTATTTGACTTTTTATTTTTAAAGACGAGGTCATATATGCTTACCAAGCATTTGTATTATGTTTGAAAACTCAAAACCTTGAACTTCCGAATGTCAAAGGAAAAAAGTAAACTTGAAATTTTCTTTTTTTGGACACCAAAGGCACTTTTAATATTTGTAATTGGTTATAAAAGGGATGCCATTGCCATGGGCATGTTACATATATCGTATACCAGTAGAAATGAAGATGGAGACGTGGGCAATCATAGTCACAGTTATGTTTGTTGCCTTTGCTGTAATGATCGCTTTGAGTTTGTTTTTCGGAAGGCGTACAAGTGTCCCCCATGGTGGTACTGGCGGTGGTGGAGGTGGAGGCTTAGGCGGTGGAGCCCATATTAATAACGACGTTGAAGCCAATATTGGCATTGGAACAGACTTTGGCGGTGGAGCCAATTTTTCCAGTGGGGCTGACTATGGCGGCATAGGAGGTGGAGCTGGTTTTGGCGGTGGAGGTGATTTTGGTGGTGGTGGTGGTGGAGGGGGAGGAGGACATGTTGGCAGTGCATGTTAATTGCGTCGTTTATAGGTGACGGACGTCTATTACACTACCTCTACCATGGGTTGTGATTTTTTCATGTACATTATTATTTCATGTCAATTTTTTCATTAATTAAATCAAATAATCCTCCTCTAGAAGGGGACAAACGCTCTTCTCTTCATTATTCTGCTTTGGTTTTTTTATTTTGTTTTCTACCTAGTATATATGAAGAAACAATATTTGACGCATGAGTTTATAGTACCAACAACAATGTATAAAAAAATGAATACATAACAAAATGCGTAGTTTCGACCAAAATAAATAAAAATAAATAAAATTAATATTCACTAACCATGCATGCATGGAGACTTATAAAGACAATTAATATGGCCACGCGTACGGCCACGCTCAGAGGTAGAAAGCAAATATTTAAGCGGAGGAGGAGGAGCAGATCGAAGGAAGGAGGAGACAAATCATAACACAAGTAGTAGGGATAGTAGTGAATCGGAAACTCGGAAGAATCAAGCGGATGGAGACTCTTGATATTTTAAAGATTATAGAAAGCACATTGGCGGTCGTGGTTGTGGTGTCGGCGGTGGGTGTATCGTGTACTTACTGCTGGAAACGCAAGTGTGTTCAGGAGGGCCCTGGAGACGCCTGAGATGGTCTTTGTATGCATATATAGTCACTTATACATTATACATATAATATAAGGGGCTTTATGCTCTTGTAATAAGTTGATTAATTGACACTGCATATTTATCTCTTCAGCTACACTTCTTCTTCCCAAGATTTGTTTCGATTCTCATTTTTTCCATTTTTGTGTTTTTTTTTTGGGGTTGTCTGTTGTATAGGTAAATTTTTCTTCTGACTATCGCATTATAGTCCACTCATATTATAAGACGTTCCTGAGTTTTTTATAGCTATGTATGCATATTCAAAAATCATGATTCGAATCCTACAATATATTTACTAGGTGTATAGTACGTCCGGAGATCATCTTGCATGTTGGAAACTATAGTCTCTAGATATATACAAAGAACTGTTTTATAATTTTACAAATAAAAACTAAACTAAACTAAACCCTACGACCACTTTTCACACGTCTCTTTGCCTCCCCTAATTCTCTCTCTCCCTCCTTCCTCTCCTCCCTAAATAAATAAAATGTTACTTTAACCTCTCCTTGGCGATATATACGAGAAGAGCCATGCAATATGCATATATATATTCCCTTTTTTTTATTAAGGGATTCATCAAATAATTTTATTTGAGTGACACCATTTAGGGTCCCCTACTAATTTTTTTGTAAAAAGATCCAAACCATCTATTTTTAAAGTCTACATTCATAAATCATTCTTGCAAAAAATTAGATAAATTGGAAATCGTTTAATGAACACGGTGCTTCAAGAAAATACTAAAATTTCAATATTTCAATTAAGTGGTCAAATGATATCAGATTTAAGTGATTTTTTTGTAGAAATTATCTTTCAATGAAAAATACACTATTTAGATTAGTTTGACCTTTAATTGAAATATATGTAGCAGTCAAAGACTCCCAAGTAGGAATAATAGTTACGTAATCTCATTTGGCAGCAGAAAGCCACCTGGTATCTTCTACACACTAACACTTATAATATTCCCGTGTATATGGCAAATTAATATTACTTGTCAGCGGTCAAAGACTCCCTACAAAAATAAAATAAAATCAGTCAGATAAACACGTTTTGCGTTGCGTAGTTGCCTTTGCATTTGACTAGCTAAGCTAGAACTGGTCATATATGCATGCTTCCAAGCACACGTTAATTAATTAAGCAGACGCCTAATTATGAATCACAACTATACAAGGGAAGCTAAGGGGCGCTTGTTTCATTGGAAATCCTAGTAGCGAAAGATGGAAGTCTGGAAAATCATGCTGATAGTTTGGTTTGTTGTAGCCGCTGTATTTGTTGCTTTAGGTTTGTTTCGTAGAAGGTGCACTGGGGTAGGCTCTGGTGGTAGTGGAGGTGGTGGAGGAGGAGGAGCCGATTGCGGTGATGGAGGAGGGGATGATTTCGGTGGTGGAGGAGGAGCAGATAGCGGTGGTGGAGGGGGGGCTGATTTCGGTGGTGGAGGAGGAGGAGGAGGAGATTTCGGTGGTGGAGGAGGTGGTGGGGCTTCTGCATGTTGAAGCGCAAAGCCATAATTTCTCCCACACATGGTGCTATAGTTTTGTTATAGAAAAGTTGATATAGATCCAAATTCCTATTAAGGAGTTGGGTTTAATCCTCAGATTCGGTGACTTTGATCCAAGTCCTTTGACTTTTGTGTCACATAGAATTACATTCCTTTTTAACTATTTTTTGATGTAATCTTTTTATTATTTAATTTTTAAAATCATTTTTTGTTCCAATGTTGCCCTTTATGACTTGAATCGGGTTGTAATCATTTATGTCATATTGCCTATTGCCTATTGCATAGGTATATATATATGTTGTTTCATATTTTCGACAACATGTAATAGTATTTTATGTACCTTTTTTTTATATATAGGTAACATACAATTTTATTGTCTATTTTTGTATCTGACTTATAGGTAGTCTTCTAATTTATGTTCCTAACTTATAGGTAACATGATTTATCTATAATACCCCGAAAAATTCAAGGTGGATTTTCATATTTTAGTGAAAAATAATATAATTGTGGAGAATGATTATGGGTATTTTATCAAGTGATTTTAGATGGAGATTATTAAATTAAGTATGTTTAATTTCAAGTTGGACAAACATGACCAAAATACCCCTAGGTGTGGATAATTACCAAAGTACCCTTGTAGAAAAAAAGGAAGGAGGCAACGTGTAAGCCAAGCATTTCTTCCCTCCTTCATTCTTCCCCCCTTGCCTCAAGTTTTCCTATCCACCATTTATGAAGAGTTGAGTCACCTAGTTTAAAATGGTGAGTCACCTAGCCTAATTAAGATTCTTAAATCTTGAAATTATTCTCTTCCTCCCCATTCATTGTATCATCACTCTTTCTTAACTTGATGACTCACCTAGCCTAAGGCTTTTCAATCATAAATTCACTCTTATCCTCATCATTCATTGTATCATCCTTTCTTCCTCATTCACTCATCTTCATCCTCATTCTTCTTTTGTTCCTCTTCAAAATTCAAAATTCGTAACTTCCTTGGAGCAGCCGAGAACTCAAAATTTGGAAGCTCAAATGAGAAAACTTTCTTCATAAAAGTTGTTCATTTACGTGATTCCTATAACATAATCAAATTTCAGCTCAATCCGATTAGTATAGGCTCTGAAACATTGGTATGATCACAATAAGTTTACCATTTCCTAATTTCACAGCAGTATGCTCGGTTTCAGTTTGTTTCTGTGATCTCATGTACTCAAATGACTTTGGTTCCTTCATCAAAGTTGTTTGAAATGCTGTGTATTATAACATATCAAAATTTCAGATTGATCGGACTTCTCTAGCCACCTTGGGAATGTTTAGAGTGGAACTTGTTTATAGTTCTTTGTATGCATATATAGTCACTTATACATTATACATATAATATAAGGGGCTTTATGCTCTTGTAATAAGTTGATTAATTGACACTGCATATTTATCTCTTCAGCTACACTTCTTCTTCCCAAGATTTGTTTCGATTCTCATTTTTTCCATTTTTGTGTTTTTTTTTTGGGGTTGTCTGTTGTATAGGTAAATTTTTCTTCTGACTATCGCATTATAGTCCACTCATATTAGGAGACGTTCCTGAGTTTTTTATAGCTATGTATGCATATTCAAAAATCATGATTCGAATCCTACAATATATTTACTAGGTGTATAGTACGTCCGGAGATCATCTTGCATGTTGGAAACTATAGTCTCTAGATATATACAAAGAACTGTTTTATAATTTTTATTTTTATTATAGCAAGTACCTGTAAGGTTCATGAAAAAGCTATTCTCATATGCCCATCGAATCCTTAATTAAAAAACACCCAAAAAAAACTCAATCAGATGTAGATGCAAACACAGTAAAGAAACCCATCAGAAAATTAAACAAATTCATACCCACCCAGAAAATTAAAAAAGTAAAACTCATTCATCCACACCTTATGAATTCCAGTCCTGATTTTCTTTAGATAAATTGCTTTGTGCGATATAGGTGTACTAAACCAAACACCAAGAGGATTCAACAATCGCTTATGAGAAGAAAGCATTCATCCAAAAAAAAAAGGGTAAGCTAAATAGAAAAAGAATCTTAAGAAAACTTAATTTGAATACTGATTGGAAACAAATAAATAAAGGATTCAACAATCGCTTATGAGAAGAAAGCATTCATCCAAAAAAAAAAAAAAGGGTAAGCTAAACAGAAAAAGAATCTTAACCGTGGAGGAAGGAGTAGAGCGGTGGAATGGAGTCAGAAGTCTGGCAGAGCGGTGACAGAAGTTCGGCGAAGCACCTGCGATGGGGAGGAGTGGTGGCAGGAGTACGGCGAAGCACTGCGATGGGGAGGAGAGGAAGGAGGGAGAGAGAGAATTGGGGGAGGCAAAGAGACGTGTGAAAAGTGGTCGTAGGGTTTAGTTTAGTTTTTTTTTTAATTTTTAACTAAAGAAAAATATAGAAAATATTATCTCCTTAAAAAAAAAACTAATATAATTTTAATGAGGTGGTTATCCACATCAGCTGCCATGTAAGATGGTATTAAAATGTGGTAGATTTATGTGGTAAGCATAGCATTACCCTATTAGGAGACGTTCCTGAGTTTTTTATAGCTATGTATGCATATTCAAAAATCATGATTCGAATCCTACAATATATTTACTAGGTGTATAGTACGTACGGAGATCATCTTGCATGTTGGAAACTATAGTCTCTAGATATATACAAGAACTGTTTTATAATTTTACAAATTTTCAACACCATGCGAGTTTTCATTCTAAGTAAATAAATAAAATGTTACTTTAACCTCTCCTTGGCGATATATACGAGAAGAGCCATGCAATATGCATATATATAGTCCATTTCTATTAAGGGATTCATCAAATAATTTTATT